TGAAGAACACCGACAAGTTCCGTCCAAACGCTCATCCAAGTACGAACAGACGGTTGGAATAGGCCAGTCGAGGAAGAACCATGCAAAGCGTCTCGCCAGATTGGCAACACCCTGCGCCGATCTGTCGGGTGCTGGTATTTGGAGGCCCGCATGCAGAACAGCCCCTTCTTTAAGCAGGATAGCTTCCTAAAGGGTTTCTTTTCTACTTTGTAAATATCCAGCAAACCGCGTTCGGAAAGGAAGCTTCGGCGCTTGATGGCACGAGGGATACGAATCATAGATTCGATGTCTCGCCAGCTTAATCTCGTTAGTAGAAGTCTCCTTCCTGGAGAACAGCGGGGATTCATCGTGCAGATGCCTTGCTAGCCTTGAGCAACACTGTACTCGTACTACGCAAAAGGATGTACTCGCAATGCGCAAACTTCGTCCTTTTCTCTTAGTTTTCTACTTCAAATAAGTAAATCTGTTTCAGTTTTAATTCGAGTGGAGCAGAAGCTACAAGAGCGAGTGCCGGCCTTTCAGCGTCCTTGATAAGCACGCGCGCTCGTGCAGTGCAAGTACCCTTTAGAGCAACATGCTCATGCTTATACCTTCGGCTTCACTCGCACACAAGGTGGAACGATTATATTTATATTTTATAGCTTAATATTTCTTCAGGTGTGTGCCTACTTTTTTGTGTTCATTATTGTCGCCTTCGTTTTTACTACCTCTACAATCACGCTCCCTTTTACTCTCTTGGTGTTAACGCTTAGGTTTTTTTGTCTTACTAGTACTATAAATGTCCACTTGTGGGGCTACGCAAGCAAATTTTTCGAACCCGCTCAAAACGCTCTTACGCTGAAGAAAAACGCTCTACTAAAACGCGTTTTTGGACCTCCGCTTTCCATTCCGGCGAAGCGGGCCGGGCATGCGCAGTTTGGCACCCTCAGAGCGGAGCGGAAGATGAAAACGGTCTACTAAAACTCTCTAATGCTTTCGTAGACCGTTCTCTGCGGGCTACGGTACTGCGTAGAGTTCCTGTATAGGCTCCCTACGGGCTCATTCACACTGGAAGCGGATCCGCGTTCGCAAAGCGGTTGCGAACGCGGTTGTATAAGGATTCAGTACAATTGCACGCGCATTTGATGACATCAAATGCGCGTGCATTTGTACTGGATCTTTATACAACCGCGTTCGCAACCGCTTCGCGAACGCGGATCCGCTTCCAGTGTGAATGGGGGGTACGGGAGTCAGAGTTGCGCGTCTGTTTTCCACGTGCCGCCGCGCCGCTATTCGCCGAGATCCGATCACGTGAGGATCCGGTTCAAATGCCGTGCAGGAAAGTAGACGTTGCACGCGCCCCTACAGTACGTTCCCCTGCTTTTGACCGCGCCGCGCACCTCGAACGCGCGGCGTCGCCATTCGCCTAATTCAGTCATGTGAGGAGCAGGATCAACATGCCGTGCAGCAAAGACGGGGCTACGGGGATGAACGCGCGACTCTGGTTCCCATGGGAAGGAACTCTAGCACTGCGATTACGACAGCGCCACTAGCGGTCATTAGAAAGCACTATATAAAACATTAAACGGATACTATTACTGCAACCACGGATTTGTTTTATCAGAGTGCCTGATTTCGAACACAACACATGGTTAATTTACGATTATGATTGTTGATCTTTTTTCTGGATAAATTCTTCGTAGCACATCTTGCCAGCTTGTGGTAATCGCGCTTTGCTTTAAAGCCAGATTCAGTTCGGCCAAGCCAATCCCCTCTTTGTCATCTCGCGCTCTTTTATAGTCGTGGACGCGTTCTCCACCAATTTCCGAAGATGCAGCGGCTCAGCGTTTTTGAGGACCAACATTTATTGTTCAGTTTAAGTTAGAGGGAAATAGAGGATGTGTACTTGATGTTTTCAGAACCGCCAAAGCGGTGTTATGTTATTTCGCTGATGTGCGCCACTGGTATGGTGTAGTTTTGGAATTTGTATTCTATAAACAAGAAAACACTAATGTTTTTTTTTAAAGGCGCTAGTGACTGTTGATCAGCAAAGAATTTTGTCTTTGGTCTTTAGACTTTATTTATTTGGCACTAGAGAGCCGCGGCACCGCGGAAAGGCACCAGCTCGTACTATGGGGGCTCGTGGTGCCGCGTCTAGTAAACAAGATAATCTCATGAATATATACATGCACAATGACGACGACATGGATTGTTAGTATTGAGGACGATGGCAGTCCGATTCGCAGAAGTCCAAATTTCGTGGAGGCGGGTTGGGCGGGTGAGAAGCGAGCTGGGGGATCTGGCACACCATTCGATCGGTGCATGAGGGAGCCTCCGGAACATTATGGCGGTGTTGCTCACAGGGGCCCACTGCGGTCGAAGCATCAGGCTCCAAGGAGGTAGCCCAGTCGAAGTACAAGCTTCCGCTTCCGGGGCACCAGGGCTCAGACTGAGACCCCGCCGTCGCCCGGTGTGTCATCCTCTCAACGTCGTCGTCGTTGTGTTTTTTATTGATATACGTATATATGTACAAATAAAATAAGATGATAAAAAGACACACAATCGAACGGCCAGCGTATGTCGAGATCCGCTATTTCGTAAGGCGCCTCCGCAACCACGTCTGCAACTCCGCAAGGTCTGCGCTAGATTGGCACATGCGCAGTAGTTGCGGAAGCGTAGCGGATAACGTAGCGGAGGTGTAGCGGAGACGCCAGAACGATCTACGAAAACTCCCTATTGTTTTGTTTGGTTCCCTTTTCCCAATCGGATGTGACGGTACCGGATACAGTCTGGGAGACAAGCTGCCCGACCTCTTGAAGCTCGGGCAAAAATTGTGCTGTTAATTTGCCACACACGCCTGAGAAGCACCACCCGAACAGCTTGCACCCTCCAGCCTTTGACCACGCAAACGCCCTTGCCGAAGATATGGCAAAGTATTTTGCCGGGAAATGACTACCCGAATTAGCCAATAGATAACCGTTGTTCAGCTCGCAACTTTGGGACTCCATCGTTCATAGCCCACGACTTGGATTCCCCTAAACACCATGCGCACCTCCCTCGCGCCACCTTCGCCAGAACTGTCCTGCCTTCATCAAAATACAAGCCTACTAGCCTTGATTCCTGGGGGGGAATCCTGTGGCCACGCGCCACAATGAGATCTCTAGAAAAAGAAGAGAAGGTTGACGCGCGAGGGGATTAGAATAAAGAGCCCAGTTGGATTTCGGACATCAACCTGGTCGGTCGTCTCTATAACCTTTATGATAATTGTGCGTTGTGAAAGCAAGACCTGTTCGTCGGAAAAATCTCAAGTGCACAATTTCGAAGTGCGGCAGGGAATCTTGTACTACCAGCCCCAAAGCGGAACAAGCTCACGGAAGCTTTTCGTGATCCCACGAAGTATGTGTTAGCGTCAGCATTAGCGTGATGGACATCACGCCTTTTTTTTTTAGTATCCGCCATATTGTGTTTTATCGAGAAAATCGAGGCGGTCGGATGGGCATCCGGCTCGCACCCAAGCTTCAAAGTTTGTACCAATGTACGTTTTAATAACTGTTCCCAAAGAAACCATCCAGTTTTTTTATTACAGATGATCCCTTGAATTGGGTTTAACGCTTCATACGAAGCACAGATGTGCCGGTGACTCGCTTTCGGTTCTCGACGCAACGCAGTGAAACGGACTCAAACGCAAGTGTCTGAACCGGCCTTTATCCTGGCTGTCGGTGCGGCCGTGGCTGGCCATGTCTTTTTTCCGGCCTTTTGTGTTGGTGGTTTTCTACTGGGGACCAAGGGATGCTTTTGTCCAGTGCCGCAAGAGTTTCCATATTCTGCTATTGGCCTTTGGTGGGCCATAACTCCTCGAAACAGGCGAAAAAGTGAAAAATATTCGAGCTATAAAATTTACTGCTCCAACCTTAGGAAATTTCTTCCTCCGAAAGCCGAAAGATCTCGTCGCCAATAGTAGAGTGAAATATAACGTTTTATATTCTGGTTTACTAACGGTAGCCTCACTGAGCAAGAACGATAGAGACGCTTCGCAGCAGCCCTGAATAGGCGCCGTTATAACAGCCGGTCAGTTTTTGTTTCCTCTTCTTCCGTTCGCTTCACTTCATTATTACCATAGCAGGCCAGGTTATTGGCATTATAGATTCTACCTTGTCCTTCTCCCAGCATTATCATTTGTGTAGGCTCGTAACCGCCCGTTTCAGTGGCTCATTATATCGGTAAAACAAGAGGTCAGCAATGGCGGATATAATCTGGCGCGCGTGGAAAGCGTCTATACTGGCTCGAGCTCGAGCGCCAGAAGCATGTCAGGGAACGAGCGTCGCGAGCATCTTAAGATCGCGTGTTCTTCATTCGACTCTACGCTTTGCCCAGACGCATCTCAAGATGAAGGGCTCTTCTCTTCTGACCCAAGCCTGCACCGCCAGCGCCCCAGCTGCCGCATTAGACGCAGCGCTTATTTTCGGACATGGCACATTCCAACAACTGGCACTGCTGTGCACCGCGATTTCCATCTTCATCGCAGTAAGCGAAAGCCTCGTTACCGTGGTATTCGCAAAGCCCATCGAACACTGGTGCAGGCCACCGCCGGAGCTAGCTTACATGCCGACCGACGTCTGGAAGAATCAGAGTATCCCCGTGGAACCGGACGGCACGTTCAGCAAATGCACGCGCTACGAGCCTCCACTGGACGCGGGAAATGCGACGGAGAACCGAACCGTGGTCTTTTGCGACGAGTGGGACTACGCTCTGGCGACCACGGGGAAGTCCATCATCAGCGAGTGGAAGCTGGTTTGCCGCAGACACCGGCTCCTTTTGCTCCATTCGCTCGTATACTTCGGAGGAGCCGTCGCCGGGAGCGTGATCGGGTACTTTGGGGACAGCTTTGGCCGCAAACCAGTTTTCGTGGCGCGCTGTTACTGCTAGTCGCCTCTGGCACGGCCATAATCGTGTCCAACACGGTGCTCACGTTTATCATCTTGCGCTTTCTGACATCGGTGACATCTTTGACGGTTTTGAACATGGCGGCAGTTATGCTGATCGAGGTGACGGAGACAACGCATCGCGTCGTCTTCTGCTCCTTTGCCTCCTCGTGCACATCCGCGGGGCTGACACTGTTCCAATTCCTCTTACTGGCGGTAGGTGGACACTGGAGGCTGGCTCAAGCGATACTTATGGTGGCGACAAGCATCCTCCTGTTCGCTTCCTACGCCATTGAAGAGTCTCCTTGTTGGCTGCTGGCCTTGGGCGACATCCAAGGTACCGAGCGCGCAGTGCTCTCGGCTGCAAAGGTAAACCGCTACCCCGTAGACGACGTGAAGGCCAAGATGAATCACATCAAGTACGTGATGTTGCGGAGGGGCAACACGCAAACGAACGTTCAACAAGCGAGCCCCTTAGACCTTGTCCTGAACAGTTCTCTGCGTTTCCGATCCGTCACCCTTTTTTCGAGTGCATTCATGACGCTCCTTCACCTCTACGACACCAATCTTAACAAAACCTTGATAGAAAACCGGACAGTGCACATAACCCTAATAGTTGCGCGGCTACTTGGTTCGATAGCTTTCTTGTATATCGTGCACTACCTGAGCCGGCGCAAGATGATTTGCGTCGCCATGTTACACATGTCGGTCGTGCTAGGCTTACAGACTTGACTGGATTGGCAAAAGGACGACAGCATCCTGCCCATTGTCACAAATATCATTAAGGTAATTGTTTTGGAAATGATTTCAATGACGATATTTGTGTATTTGTTGGAGATATTCCCCACTGTGCTTCGAGCCACGAGCTTTTCCTTAGGCACCATGTTCGCTAGGAGCGGAAGCGTGCTAGTGCTCTTGATCACGGGGCCCAACCCGCCAATTAATCGAGCTCTCGCCATGGCGGTAAGCGCGGTGATGTTCACTTTGATCGGTTTAGCTTTTCTTGCTTTACCCGAAACGAGGAGGGTAATGGCCACCAACACCATTCGCGAGACAGAACTTGAGGACATGTGGCAAGTGCCTGCCAGAGAAAACTTTACGCGTCTCAGAACTATTCCTACGCGTCCAGATGTTTCTAAGAAGTCCTAGACGCCATTTGTTTTTATTAACGCCGCTTTTTATGATGTGACGTTTTATAAAAGAAAAACGTGCAATGTGTCAGTGGCGTCATCGTCTGTATGCGTCTGCCCTGAATCCGCAAGTGCACTGCTCATGCATTATACAAAAAACTGTGTTCGCTTCAGACACAATAACAGAAATCACTGCGTACACGCCCAAAAAATGTCTGAAAAATGTTCTCTTCAGACATATGAATGATTCAAACACGCATGTACCAGGGGTTTTCCCAGAAATTGAAATTAGGGGGGGAGGGGTGTACATCCCCTAGGGGGTGTGTAGAGAAATCACTCGTCTGTAGACAGTCTTAATGGGAAAGCACTAACTATACTATGGAGTGGAGCCGGTGACGTCTGGAACCGCAAGAAACAAAAACAAAAAAAACGCTAAAGAAATGCCTATTCTCTCACTGGCTGAGCAAAACGGCTCATATTGCGAATTCGGTGCACGGTGAATAGACCCTTTCCGAAATTCAGTCTGGCCACTTCGATCACTATCATCATCTCTGGAACGGCATCTGTGCCATACCAATGGCAGCCTTCTAGTGACTGATAAAGGAAGACGTTGAAGATGCTCCTAAGCGGCTCTTGCGAGGCCTGCACATTTGGGGGGTCAGTACGACGCGACGATGGAGTAGAACGCAAGAGCCAAGTAAGCGTTTATTTCTAATAACTCAGATTCAATCAATTTGTGGGCGGCACACAATCGGCTTTACAGCACTTTGGTGTATAGAATTTTCTCGAGGCATCTGAGTGGCTTCTAGCTTAATTATGAATGCTGGTTCTTGGTCACCAGCAAACTGAAAGTGATCGAAAAAGAACTCACACCAAACAATTCCTCTCGTGCCGTTGACTTGCGAAAGTGACGGTGCCGATACAAGTTCATTTTCGCCATTGATATGGCAAAACCTAAACTGCTTTACAAACCACCAGATGGCACTGAATTTCGGAAAGGGTCTATTGCCGGCGAGCCTTGCCGGTGGCACCGGCGACCAAAAACGCGCCAGTGGTGCAACACATGACCCTCTTCACTTGAACACAAAGTGCCGGCAACTGGCCCGGGTCGCGCCTGAGCTTTGTTAACTTCTTCCTCGATTATTTTATGGTACAATAGGAACGCTGTATGTGTCAACAATATAAAATCTGGCCCCTTGAGATGTGTGTAAACACAGGCGGCTTCAGAATAGTTTTCGAATTATTAACATTACCACGGTCCGCACAGCTTGGAGGATCTTAAATTATAAAGTTAAATGAAAGGAAGATTAATAATTCGGTGTGGGGCCGTCCGCAGACGCGTGAAATTTCTATTACCAGTGTTTGGATTTCCAAAGAACTGTCGCCATATTACAAGGGCCCCATGGAAACTTACCAGGGTCGATTTTCATATTCTGTTTATTGTCATTGCCTCTTCTGGAATCCTCAGTTTTCTTATTGCGCCCACCTTCCTTGAAATTGAAGTGAGTATTCGAGTGTTGAACTGCATCACTATGCATACACTTTTTTTTTTCACCACTCTAATAACGTGTTATTACACAGCTGTAAAACAAAGTATTGTATCATGCAGCCCGTGTCTCAGAGCAAACTGACCTTGCGCAAGCTGGAGATATTCTTCCAAAAATATTGGCTTTCTTTGAAACATAAATTATCTTTATCTTCGTTTTTTTTTGCAATCTTGTCTCGGAGCACAAATGGGTGCCGGTCTCGATAGCTTCGTTTGCCACCCGAACCCGCTATTCGCAGCTTTCGGCAAACATTGTTTCTTCTGTCTATCTATGCTGGAACGCAAACTGAATGATGTAGATAACTGCATCAGGCACTGATTGGCTCTTCTCTGGGGTCACGTGACATGACGTTGAAATGTAGTTTTTCCCTATGCAGTTCGAGCTATGCTCGTAAAATGATGCAGTTGGCGGTGACGTCAAAATGTCGTCACGATGCACTTTGACGATGCAGCTAACTGAGTGGTCGATGCGAAGCCGAAGATCAATCTGCATCGTAAAACATGGCGACCCTAACATATGCATCTCTACTGTGGGGTTCGCCAGCGCATCGAGTGTTTAGAGATCACCGGGATGCTTTCGAGCCGAGCGATGTGAGGTTTGTGGGCGAATAACCGGTTGACCAGAGGGGTGACTCGCTGGCTGTGTGACCAGCTTCGCGGAAAGCTCCAGCGTTGTCTTGAAGGGCCCCGTGTGCTGACGGTCGAACAACAAGTCCTCGCAGCTCTACGCTTTTACGCCGCTGGCGGCTTCGAGGGAACCGTCGGGAGCGACGAAAACATTGGTGTTCAGCAGTGCTCTGTGAGTCCCGTACTTGGTGATGGCACCAACGCTATCATCGATTGCCTCGGATCGAAGTGGCTGTGTTTCCAACAAACTCAAGCAGAGAAGGCGCTCACAAAAAGGAAGTTCTTGGAGCGATGCAAGTTCAGCGGCGTTATCGATAAATATTCTAAATACTCTTACACAATTTAACACGATTGTGTTTTCATTTGAGTGCACCCCATATAAGCAATTTGGCTGAGCGAAAAGCCAAGCAAGCAAAGGTAACAGGCTTAAGTTGAGCTAGTTCGTTCATACTTCAGGTAAAGAGAGAGATATATATGCTTTATTTTAAAACAACTACTTCAGATCCGGGCAGCTGAACTAGAATAAGCATACACATAAAGAAAAGACCATACACACCGTGGGACTAACAACTGATTTTCTTCTTCCCCCTCTTCTACTACAAACCCAACTCGAGGGAAATATTCTCTTTTCTTCTTTTTGGCTTCCTACTTCACCGCAAATTTAACCCCAGAAGGAACATTTTTTTCTTTCTCGTGCAGCACGAGAGATGTTGCACTAACGCAGTCAAATATAGCCAAAAAGTAAAATTTGTCGTTTGTTATTGACACAGCACATTTACACAGGAGGTTAGTCTGCCTGAACATGGCGACATTGTTACCCACTGTAGATAAGCAATTTAGCCAGTGCAGTACGACTGCTAGCCCGGGGTTTTTAACGTGCATTGCGCAGTACACGATCGCACGCCGGTACGATGCTCATCCAGCAGATCGAAACGGGCGGGAGCGGGAATAGGCCCGTAGCTCTCAAGTTTTGAGCAGCGCTCCAGGCGAGCACAATAAAATATTTGGCTCGCGTTTCGAACGTGCGTCATAACGCTTCCCCCACTACAGTTTTTTTATACTCCGTTCCATTCTAAGTGCCAGCGTAGCAGAGGTTACAAGAGCGAACTCCGAGCTTGCAGTGTCCCTTCCAAGCACGCACGCTCGTGCAGTGCCAGCATCGCTCAGGTAACATGTCTTTGCAAGAAGCTTCGGCTTCGCCATCATGTAAATTGAAACATGCGGGCTCACGGAAGCTATGAAAGAACGCAGTAAATAATAAAGCTGATTGAGACGCCGAGGCCGCGAGCTGCATAATTCCTTTTTATTTTATTTTTTTAGACTTTTTGTTATCGCGCGTCTACAGATGCTGACAGATGCTTGCATTCGAACGTGGCACGTGCGAAATCGAACGTTACAGCGCCGCCTGGATAGTGCTGCCAGCATAACATGGTCGCGTCTTGCGGACGCGCTCGCGCCCCCTGCCCGAGAGCAACGGGTCTATTGAACCCACGATCCCTGGGTTCTGCAGCGCGAGCTTTCGCTCCACGTGCTCCGAGCTGGTGTGCGCTAGCCTACTCGGCGATTCTCCAAAATTCCCTGTAGGGAAAAAAAGAACGATGTAGTTTCAACTGAATCGCCACAGTTCGGCGACGTCACCGGACACGTCACGGTGCAGTTCTCTTCCGATGTAGTTGGTTGGCGGTGGAGATTAGGCTCCTCCCACCGGCAACGTCACGATGCAGTTTCTCCACCGCTTTTTCCAGCATAGACAGACTGGTTCCCTTTCCCCAATCGGATGTGACGATACCGGATACAGTCTGGAAGACAGGCTGCCCGACCTCTTGAACCTGGGGCAAAACTTGTGCTGGTAAATTGCCGCACACGCTTGGGAAGCGCCGCCACAGAACAGCTTGCACCCGCCAGCCTTTGACCAGGCGAACGCCCTTGCAGAAGATATGGCAAAATATTTTGCAGGGAAATGACCACCCGAATTAGCCGATAGATAGCCGTTGGCGGCCGCTTCACGAGAGCGCGCGCTCAGCCGTCGCTCTCGTGTCAGGCGTTGCCGGAAAAGGGGGGGTTGCTTCCGGCCGTTTCTGGGCCGGCTTGCTAGAATACCGTCTCAGCTGAGACTCGGGCTACGTTCCGAATCTGACCCTGGTAGCTTGTCTCCTACTTCAGCGGGAAATACCACGGGACATCGCGAGTAAACGATCCGTCACTTGATTTTGGAACGGTAGGGATAATCACCTGGATACTGCGCGGATTGGCTTCGTCTTGGGCTATGGCAAAAAGAAAACAGCATCGACGGCGGATAATAGACGATCTCTCTTGATCGTAGAGAAAGCACTCGAAGAGATGAAGAATATTAACCGTTGCGAAGTGTTTCTTTGACAGTAACGACACGGTGCTTTCTGAGGTGGCTCCACCAGTTCCTTTTGCAAACT